TGGGACATATACAACGTTAAACAAAACAAAAAATCTATGTTGCCCGTAACTTGAAGTTTGGTTAACTGTTAAAATTTCGAGTTACTAAATGTGGACGTTCAACGAAAACAAAAATATATGTTGCCCGTAACAATTATTAGTTCAATGTTAATTGAACACCTAGTTACAATTTGGGCGTGGTTTTGCAAAAGAGGGCGTGGTTTCTGAAATATGGGCGTGGTAATTTTTTTAACTCGATGTCCGTAACTCGAACAATTAAAGTGTGGTGGTCGTAGCGCAGCGCGTGTTCGAATTTCATGTAAATAAACAATGTATTTTACACGCGTTGTATACGTCGCTATGAGTCCCACATCGAACAGAAAGCGGCCCGACGACTGCCGCCTATTAACCATCTCCTAAAAAGCATGTTAAAACTAAAGTTCAAACACATTTTTGTGAAAAAACAATCATTTTGGCACCAATCTGTATGGTGCGCGAATACATAGAAAACTAATATTTTTCCAGAAATATAAACTCAACATATAACTGAGAATACATTTGGATTAATTTCAGTAATTAAGCCAACGTATGTCGAAAATATGCATTTTAATTTTATTCAATACATTACGCCAACTGCATGTACATGTAATAAAGTTTAATAATACCTCATTAACTGTTCAGACCCCGAAAAAAAACACAACTTTCAGGGTTACAAACCAGGTTGCCATTCTTCAGTCATGGAAGACAATTTTAAACAACAGTCACATTTCCACTGCCCAGACGGAAGAGTTTGTCAATTTATAGACGATTGATGGGCAACTATTTTATTGAGGGCACTGTAGAAAACGTGAACGGCCAACTGCAGTTTGATTTGTCCAATGACACCTCTTGGGGCATCATACTATTGTGTAAGCATCTTATTGCACGCAATAGGTCCGTGTCACAATTTCAGTAATATGAATATGTAATATTTGTAGTAAACGTGTTCACAACAGACTGTATACTGTAGTGTATACTTATTTGTAAGAATATTGTATTATCTTTTCTTGCATCACGTCTCGCTCGGTATTGTAACCAGTTTTCAGAAACACGATGTATCTATTTCATTCACTTCTCATACACGCATTTCGAAGCAATGATGTGTTTTGAAATGCGTTCACTGAAAAAACGTATTTATTTTGGGGGATTCTGCATGTAATGTTACTTGTTTTCGAATATGTTTTAAACATAATATATTGTGTGTCGAACATTTAAAATTACATTTTAATCATTTAATGTTACATCACAGAAAATACTTTGTTTGTTCCTGTGTGTTTCAGTGTACATATATTGAAATGTAATTGTATTTCCACATGAAAGTCTAAATGAAATCGACATTGATTTGCTGTGTTTCTATTGCTTGGCATCCAGGTATCTGGGAGAAATACTCCGAGAACAATACATCTCCCCCTGCAGATGCAAAACGTGCCACTCCTCCAGGGACACTGGCCAACAGATACAAAATTTCCCACGAAGTTCGCAACATCTCATTACTTATTCCCATCACAGGAGGTACACCAATCTCATCAGGTATAGTGCTAGCATGCATCATTGAGAGAAGAGACTCAATAGCATTATTTTGAACCAGCAATATCTTTTGTACCACTGAAGATTCTGTTATAATCTCATGGAGCAGCATCAGCGGCAGGACAACATCATCAATAAAGGTTTGTGATGCTAGTTGTAGAAGCATATTAAAGATGGAGACATACTCGTATTCGTTCCTCCATGGTTTAATCAAACGGAGAACTTCACAGATGTAGTCATTCACGGACTGACCGCAGTGAGTGCGCTCGGAGGTACACAGAATTGCAAATATAATCTGCCGATATATCTTTCCTGTTGGAAAAGCTAATTGACCAGTGCAATGTATATACTTTGAAATCATCTGACAAAGCATTTCAAGACAGTGTATTTGCAGATCACTATTATCACAATGAAACGACATGGCTTTCAGAACACTCAAGATCACGCGCATCACTTTCCCAGATGTATCAGTCAAAGAGGGATGTTTCTGGAAGAGACACAAGATTTTCAAGAAACGCCTGTGTCTCTCTGTGTAAACTTCAAGAGCTGTGAGAAGAGCATCTTTGCTAACACCGCCAGCAATTTTGTTAGCAGGAATTGATTGGTTCGCAAGTCCAACAAGATTATTATTCCATCTAGTCATCCAGATTCCCAGAAATTCCAGGGGTCTCTTCAGACATTCTAATCCTGGCACTGAGCTGTTCATGTATACTTCACCATCTGCCGGTCTTGGTTTTGCATGCCAGGAACCAAGGTTGTATCTTGAAATATCAAGGGAAGCAAGGAATGGTGCAGACTCAATCAGTTTGGACAACATTGGAGGATTGATCATGTTAGTGTAAAATCGGGGTTGGCTGACCCTCTTACCAGGTGGCTCCTGGGAAATATCTAGATGCCGGAGTTTGGTCATCCTGCATATCAAACTCCATTCTCTGTTGATCAGGCTTGGTCTGCAATTATAGAGTATTAGTACGCGAAGCTGTGTAACCAATGGCTGCAGAAATCCTAGAGACTTTCGTGAATCAATTGGATCCTGATTCGAAATATCTAGATCTGTCAGACTTGGCAACTGTCTGAAAAATGATTCTACCAGGTCAGTGTCAAAATTAATAAGTTGCACAGAGTTGAAATTCAGATTTGAGAGTTTATTAAACGGAAAGTTCTTCAACAGTTTTATATCAATAATGTCTTTGCAGTTAGCTGCATTCAATAATGTCAGAGTATCTTTGCATTGCGAAAAAAACTCAACAGACTTGAAGGTGATACTGCAACAGTCTGAAACATTGAGAGATTGTAGGCCATCGATTGGTAGACTATGCAAACCCAAATCCGATATAGAATTACATCCATGGAGGGAAACATGTCTAAAGGCAACAGAGGAGCTCCTGATGAGATTCAAGAATCTGTCATCAACTTTACCACGTAAAGCATGATGCAATAATAAATCATCAGCAATCAAACTTGGTAAAAACAAGCCTGGTCTGATTCCCAGTAATGTTCCACTGGCATCAATGGAGAAAAACACTTTAGGATCACTGAAACAGACATGTTTTGCATAATTTTCTAAAGTGTCTGGGCAGCAATTCAATGCCTCGGCATATTCATCTTCATCTTTATCCATCATCATTCCTAGGATTGGAGAACCTGTTAAAGACAAGTAACTATGGATCACATATTTGATTAATATTACAATTAAAAAACAAATTAATAATGAGATGAATAGTGTAAACAACATAAACAATAATGTCTGATGATTTCCTGTTGCAATTTCCGCTATCGGCAGCTTCCTTCATAAGATATATATATCATAAGGTATGTATATCAATACAGTTTTTAATGCATGTCTGCTTACAGTGGTGAGGCTCATTTGCAGAGTTTGAATTGCGTGTTCCATGTTCATATGCTTGTATATGTGACTATAATTTTGATATTGTGATAATATTGGCATTCATTTATTCTGTGTAATATCAAATTTCTTTGCAGACCAATATGTTTTATACCAATAATGATAATATTAATTGCCAAAGCTGGAAAGTGGGCAAGTCAATATTTGACTTTGTAATACAAAATACGCAATATACTTTGTGCTACGTCGTAATTAATAATCATTACATATATAACTAACAATTCACGCATATTCACCTGACTGTAGCTTATTTCTGCTTTGCGAATCCACTAAACGACGATTTTTACACATTCCAACAAAATTGTATAAAAACGAAAGCAACTCATATTTTCGACAAAGAGAGCGCATTACGTCTCAGTTCCTGACACCAAATTATAAATCGGTTCCCTACTATCTTACTAGGTTGTCACGGTATACCATTATTAGTGTCATATTCTGAGTCGTTTTAGAAACCTGCAGGAATACATCAGTGTAAGGGTACAATTTAAAACAGAGATGCTACAACAAGTGACAGTTTTTTTACGATTCAATGGATGTCTGGATAATATTAGGCAGTGTCATTAAGATGTCAACCCATCCCATGTGGTCGTTCATTGCACACAGTGTCAACAAGCCCTTGTGTCAAGCCTGTCATTTCCCTATATCAAATGCCGAATGTTCCCGCTGGGTACAGTGTGCAGGCTGTGATCCCGGGGTATTGACCAGAAAGTGCACCCGCAAACAGAATATTTCGCAATCATCAATTGTCATATTCTGACAAAAATACGTACCTTGTTATTTCACGTATTAGAGTAGACGTTCCCAGTAAAAGGTGAAAGGGCGTTGAAATACAAGGTATACCTTCCTTCGATTGCGACAAACCCGGTTTGTGACCGATCACCTTTGACCCACATAATGGAAGCTATTCGAACATTAATAGCATAGTTATTCGTTGAACCCATTGACGTCACCATTATGGCTACATTCGTCACAATGGTGCTTTAAATTGCAATTACCATTTCACACTTATAAATTAATCTGCATTATTTCAATAACCATTACAATATTGTTGTATTATATACCCCCCCCCCCTGTGTTTTGTGCACTAGATGAGAATTATTTATTTACCACTTTACCTTTAATCGCCTACAACAAAGTACATGGATGAATCTCTCAGATTGTACTTTTCAGATATATACAGAGGCGGCGGCACGACATTTTTCATGGAGGAAGAGATCTACTCACCATCCCTCGCGCCAACGCCATAGACGCGACCGCACTAGAGGGGTCCGTGGGCATGCTCCCCGAAAAAAAATGAAATCTAGACCCTCTGAAACGATATTTCCTGCATTTGCAGTGAGGGGCAAATTTTGCTGCGTTTCAGCTTGGCATCCCCCGGTGCCACTGATATATGAGCCAATATATACAACTATATTATTTTGTGGAGGGTTCAGAAAAAAGCAGAATTTCTTAGTTATTGAAATGATTATAAAATTATGATATTTTTCTGGAATATTTTTTTTCACTAATTGTGAGCATTTCACATACAGACACAAAATGGTATTAAGGTTTCATTTTGTTGTTTTTACACAGTGAACATATAGGTAGTTTGGGTGTCTCATGTTTCAGTTTTTATACTTACTGAATCTTAAAGGGTTATTTTGGTCGCGGACAAAATAGTGTTTCATTTGTGGAAATGCGCATGCGGCTTGCATTACTAGTACGTACATGGACATCTATTATTATTCGGCGATATTGACAACATGGAGGTGTGTGCCATTAATGTCATGAATTGGAAAATGAGCACTCGAGGAATTGTTGAAATATTGTAGTTACCGGTAAGGCCACACTGATTTAATTTTATGGGTGACATCCTCTGAAGACCCCAAAACTAATGCGAGAGGGCGAAAAAAAAAAATCCTGCAAAAAAAATGTTGCTAAAACCACAGGACTACGGAACTGTTATTACGAATTGAACCACAGTGTATCAAAAAAAAAAACAAGTCTTTATTTGTAGGAGGCACATGTTGATGTATACATCTCGTACTGTATTACTGTCACAGGTATCATCACCTTTGATTTTGAAAGGGCAAGAGGATAAGGCAGATGTTAGCTTTGCCAAAGGCATACACATCAACTCAATAATAAAGAAAAACTTACTGTGTTGTATTGAAAACAAAAATATTAAAAATGAACAATAAGTTTGTCAACAGCAACCTGGAAATCAACTTCTTTGACATTCAAACTACAGCTTTTAAAGTGACACTTCAGATAGACTAAGTGTAGACACAAATGCTCAAGAACTACTTCAACTATGTAAAAAATTATAAGAGGCTCGATATTATAAAAAAACACCAACAAAGAGTCAACAAAAATTTGGATGCAGAAAATTATGTACATGTATCTTGATGAAAATTTGTCATATGATCAAAATATGACTGACTTGTCATCTGACCGACTTTAAGGCCACGGTGGCCACTATAACCTCCATTCCTCTCCCATTTCTCTCATCGTATGGCTGTGTAAACGTCACATCTCCCAGGCCAACGTCAATTGCGTACCAGTCTACAACAATCCCTCCGTTTTACCTCTGAACTTTTATGCTCACGTATTTTGGTGGTGTGGTCGCCATGTTGGATCATTTATGACAAAATTGGCATGTTTTGAGACAATTTCCTTCCCATAGGTCTTTGCGCATTACGTAACGCACATCTAACTGTGCGGAGTTTGGTTTTGAGGTAGTCCAAAACGAGTTTTACGACAAGTCGGCGCTTTGCAACAATATGAGTCGGCAAGTACCGGACAGAAAACCGATCTGTTGAGACTCGTCGTCGGAGATTGTTTTTTTTTTTTTGAGAACAGGCGAAAACTAATGCTCGCGCGGATGTCATACATAAAATTAAGTCGGTGTGGCCTAACGGTATATAAAAACAGTTAGATATCAACTATATTTATAACACGTGGCGCACTGAGAAATTAAAGCGGGAGGGTCGTCACCTGCGCACAAT